CCGCGGAAAGATTTGAGTCGGAGCTTGCTCATGGTTGGGCTGAGAATGAGTTGATGATGGAGCAAAACCTACAAGATCAACATCTTCTGATGCTCTGCTGGGGATATATTTCTTAGATGCAGATGATGGTCCTGTGTATTGAGATGTTGCCTTAGCGAAACAGAAATAGATAGAGAAATAGTATGGCTGGGGAGGATATTGATTCAAATAAAATTTACTGCTTCGTTGTTTATTTAGCCCCATGTATGTTTGTTTGTCTTAATTCCTTTAATTTACTTTGTTCAGTGCTTGTTTTCTATATGACCAATTTCTTTCATGATTAAAATTCCTCTTGCTTCTTTCCAAGTTTGATGTTGTACATGAGTATTTATTCAATCTGTGTCGCTCCTGCAACATTTTCTGAACCTTTTTTGGGGTTTAGAATGTCTGTACTTGGCATTGGCATAATATGGAAGGAGAGCATGCTTCTCCAATGTCATTGTTCAATAGCAGAGAATGCAGTAATCAATCCCTCGATTCCTAGGATTTTATGCAAAAAAGCGAAGGATGATCAGAATTATATATAAATTACTTGGTCTGTCCAATTCTGTGTTTCTATTTGTGCATTAACATTATATAAATCAAGGATGAGAAGGCATTGCAAACTTGACTTGTCTTTGGTTTCATGCTCTGCCCCTGCTCCAATTTCTTCCAAAGATCAAAATCATGAATGGGAGAACCTTTATTTCGCAATCACTGTCCACAAACTCATGTAGAGTTTAAATGTTCAAGAAGTATCAGATTTCAGTTTGTTAGAGCACAATGAAGAGTCCATGTAACAAAGATTGAAGTTAATCGACTCCTGAGACAGAAATCCCGAAACTTCTTAAAATTGGATTATAAATCTTGCGGCTAATTAACTCTAGTGTGCTCCAATTCCTTATTGTCGAATAGGGAATGTGTAATTTTGAGTAAATAAACATGAGTTAAGGTTGCCAACTTAACTCACTTAACTCAGAGTTGTTAGGCCTTTGAGGGCTTTCTAATCAAGTTGCCACAGAAGGCTTGTTTCATATCTCTAAGATATCAGCTTGAACCTTTTAGTGGTTCTGTAGCTAGTTTTCTGATGCAGGGAATTTAGAGAAAAGCAAATAAGTTCAAAACAGAGGAGAAACAGGACACTCACTTAGGACTTTTAACAAACAATTGGTATGCACGATGAAGGATGGAAGAAGAAATGCACAATTAAAGGAACACACAACACAGGATGGGACGTGTGAAAACTGGTACAGGGAAATGATGTTCTTTATTCATTAAAGAAACAGCCTTAGTAGTCAAGATCGTTCAACAAAAATAAACATAAAACAGCTAATACAGACACAAACAACTCACCAATAGCTGTTTGCGCATTTTAGAGAATTCATGTTCTCAACATACCTTTGGTACAGGGCAAGCTAGGTAGACTTAATTTGCTTGTTCTGGTGGGCAATCAGTTCACTGTGATAAAAAGATAAAGAAAAAAATATATCTTAACATCATGATCAAAATTTTTGAATCACAATATTCATATAAATATATATAGCTTTCCAATTGCTGTGTTTCTTTTCTTTCTTTAAAAAAATAAGAGAGTTAATTTTAACCTGAACAAGTATATTTCTAAAATTATACTATGAATTACAAAGGCTCGAGTTGTAATTTCAAGGACAATCACTTAATTATGGAGGATGAGGCTATGAGAGTCATGAAA